GAGGCCGCCCTCCCGGGGGGGGGGGGGAAACCCATCGGAGGGGCACCAGCCCGGGCGCCCTCTTGGAAGAATTCCTCTCCCACGACTGGGCTCTGCTGGGGCGCTTCGAACATGCTCAGAGGCACCCCTTCCTCCACGGTTCTGCCAGAGGGCCCAGGGAGGCTGTGCCCTGCATGAGGGCTCTGTGGGGACCGGGTCCATGAGGTGGGCTCCAGGCACCTACCCCGACGGTGTGCTCCTTGGAGGTCTCCACGGGGTCCTGCCCGGTACGGTTCCTGTCGTCTGTGCCTGGGGGGGGGAGGCAAGGAGAGAATGTCTGGAGAGGCACCTGGGCCGACGCCCCCCTCATGCCGATGCCGGAGCCGTGGGTTGGGGGGGTGTCCTTCCCCAGGGTCTCCTTTCCACCCCCACCCTCAGGAGGACACTTCTGATGGGGGGGGGCAGAGGGCAGGGGGAGGGACAGCTTGACATCCCACTTCTTCCAGGGTTTCCTCCCAGCTTTCCTGCCATCTTCGTTTGAGGTAAGGCGCCAGAGAAACGCCCGGTGACCCTGGAGGGGGGTTGCAGGCCACCAGGGGCTCGGATGCTCTGCCCTCCCCTCCCCTCTGCTGATGGGCGGCCTGGCCTGGGGCTCTGACTCTCACCCCACACAGCCCTGCCCTTCATCGGCATCATCCTCACCAGGCCAGCTGCACCTCGCTAGCTTCCGTCCCCACACCTGAATCACAAAATTGTGGCTCAGCCGGCTCTAACCCCACCCATATTACACTTACCCAGTTCAGGGAACACTATGGCAGCCGAGAGAGAGAGAGAGAGAGAGAGAGAGAGAGAGAGAAGGCGGGAGGGTGAGCGTACCTGGGCCCTGGAGGTCCTCGCAGGCACCCTGCGCCCCCTCCCTTGCCCTGCCCTGCCCTCCCAGCCACTCCTTGACCCACCCTGAGCCTCCTGGGGCATCGGGGCCTCAGGCGGCAGCGGACATGGCGGCGCCTCCCTCCAGCCTTCTTCAGCCCACGGGTGGGAAAGCCGGACTTTGACAAATCCCCCCCTTGCCCCCCCCCGTCCCACAGGGAGGACGCTGAGCCGGAAGGCCCCTGGACTGCGCTGGAGGCGATGCGGGCGACCCGTCGGGGCTGGGCGGAGGCCGTCTTCTGGGCTTGGCCCGGGTTGGATGGAGACGCCTGCATGGGGGGGGAGGCCTTGCAGGGCTGCGAGACGAGGGTCCAAAGGGCACCGGAGCCTCCAAGT